AGATTGCCACAGATAATGACTTTCCTGTCCGGTACTGCAGCTTCCAATGGGACTAACTTTGTTTCTTCCTAATCTTTGAGGTCTGTCTTGCCCTTCGGCATGTACGGAGGCTATGACATATTGCTCTTGGCTGACTCAACAAAGTTCATGTTTTGCTGTGATTTGTAGATGGCTCTTTCTATGTTCCTTGCCTCCTTCTGACTGTAGTGGACAGTGATGATGCCGTGTAGCGCTGGCAATTTCATACATAAGTAGCCCATATGTATGGCTGCATTGAATTTGTTTGCAAACCCTCTATCGAAGATAGCATTGTATGGGTAGTAGAGGTCTACTAGATCAAAGGTTACATATTATGTCCTTGTATTCTCTTGGCCTCCGAAGGACACTGGCAGGGATATTTTGCCTAGAGCATCGATTTTCTTTCCTCCGAACCCAATTAGTGGGGAGTCCAAAGGCTACAACTGACTTCTGCTTAACTTCATTTGGTCGAAGGCATTGACAAAAATGATATCCGCTGAGCTTCCTGAGTCTATTAGAACCCTGTTAATTTCCTAGCCTGCTATATTGGCCTTGATCACCATAGCGTTAGTGTGAGGATAACTCTCCAACTGAAGGTCTTGTTCTGAGAATGTGATTGGTGTCCGCGACCAGTCTGTGTAGCGTACTGGGCCTTGGATGGCTATGTTGTTAAGCCTGAGATGGTCTTTCTTTTGCTTCATTGTCTGGAACTCCATTGAGGAGCCTACGACTATTAGTAGTATGATGCCTATCATAAGCAGAGGTGTGTGAGGGTTGATTTGGTTTTCTAGGTTTGGTTCATTTTTTGGGGGTGGCTAGCTGTGGTGGGGGTGGAGGTGGAGGTAATGCTTCGAATTGTCTGTTGTGAATTTGGGCTAGTTGTGTTGTCTCGATGAATATTATGTGCGGAGTCCTTGGGTTTACATAGGTGAGGTTGGCTTTTGCACACTGATTACTGGCCTGCCCTTACTGCTGGGTGCTTGGTCGCCATGCAGGTAAAAAACTAGGGTAGCATGCGGCTGCTAAGGTGGATGGGTGAATTTGATTGGAGTTGAGACTTGGTAGATTGGGCAATATGGCTGCTGTGAAGGTGCAGCAAAGGTATGGTTGACTACTCTAGTAGGTTGTTGTAGCAGAGGTTGAGGGTTTGCCCAGTTCTTTATCCTCTCTTGAGTTTCCTTTGCATCTGGCCCTTTGGTGATGTGCCCTTTGTTCTCTCCATGAAAGAAACAGTACTACCTTCGCTCTCTTGGTTCATGATTTTTGTTCCAGTTCTTCTTTTGATTGTATTTCTTGCCTTCGTATTTATTCTATGGTGCTTTGTCTGGGACTGCCTCCGGCATTTGCTACCGTTGCTAGATGTTCCTTTGCTGCTCTATATTAAAAACTTGTTGATCTAGCGCTTGCTCAGGTTGCGACTGGCCTTGGTTTCTGTTGCCTCTTGGAGCATTCCTGCTGCTCCCTTCGTACTGCTTGTTCTGATTTTGCTCTTCCAGCATTCTGCGAAGGTCGTTGTCTAACCTGCAATACTTCTCAAACTCACCGTATAGTTCTTTTGTGGTGGTTGGCTTCTCCCGAGCTAGATGAGCTGCGAAGGCTCCGATACAGAGACCTTTAATTGCGGCCTCGATCGCCACATCCTCTGGGACATTTGGTGCCTTCGCTTTAAGCTGCACGAATCTCTGAAAATAATCCCTCAGGACTTCACCTTGATTTTGTTTGCACTGAAATAAGTCCATTGACATCAAGGATTCGGTGGTGAACCCTATGAAGTTAGCAATGATCTTGTCATGGAGGTCCTCCCATGAATATACTAAACTTGGCCTCAACATTGAGTACCATGCCAATGCATCATCTTCGGCTACAATAACAAATGACTTGGCCAAGACAGTGTCATTCCCGCCTGCGGAGACTATAGCTGCCTCGAAACTCATGATGAACTCGGGCGGATTGGATCTCCCATTGAATTTGGGTAGGGTAATGGTTTTATAGGAAGAGGACCATGGTGAGTTTTGGATTCCTTCGGACAATGGGATTTAGAGTCTGTAGTTCTGTGGACTGGTGGTAAGGTGTAAGGTGTGCCGAAGGTTGGTTGGATGGCCATTCTTTGTGGAGGGTTGGGTTGGCTTTGATTTGCTTAATAGGGTTGGCGTAGTGGAAAGAGGCTGGGTGGGTTGCATGCTTTGTATTTCAGCTTGCAGAACAACTAGATGTTGCCGGATCTCTGCTGCCTGTAATGATGCTTGAACTACCCTTTGGTTTGCGGCGAAGGTTGCCGCCAACCTATCTCTCTCCTGATGCGTATTCTGCAACTGAGCTTGGAGCACTTGCTCTGGGGTTGGTTCTTGCACCGACTGCTCCTCAGTCGCCCCAGGCTGATCCTCCACTGCGTCTTCTTCGATGTTTGGCTCTTCGGTAGTAGTAGCATAGGTGTTGCGGGGGCTATGCCTGGCCCTCCCCCTTCGGGTGGGCTCCGAAGGTGCTCTTGCGAGGGTTGCTCTCTTTCTTACCATTGTGGGTTTTGCTTGGCCAACACACAGTGGGCGCCAATGTTGGAAAATAGAATTTCCAGCTGGTATGAAACGATGAGGCCTTCGCCTTGGTGGAGGGCCCAGGCGAAGGCTAAGAGAGGTTGGTAGGTGGACCCAAGAACAATTAGGGTTTCATCAATATACTCACCAACCCCCCTTTACATAAGATCTGGCTCCCCTTTTTATAGGACACTGTTTGCTACTATTTCATTGTACATTTCTATCCTATGCCAGCTAAGGTACATCCCTAGAATATCCTAAGACTAGTCCAAGTCTTCAGGGGCATCTTGGGTCTTTTCCTTCTGCACCGCCTTTGCCTCTCGAGCCCCGGTCGCCGGCCCATGGGAGACCCATTTCCATATTTGGGTTGTAGTGCTGTAAGAGCTCGATGAAGCCTTCGCCCGATCCACTTGAGCCTCCGCCTGCGCTTGGACCTCCGCTTCTCCGGTGGCTAGAGCCAAAGGCTTTCCTTGGTGTTCCTGCATTTTGGCCTCCGCCATGTTAGCAGTCGGATCCAAAGGCTCCGCCCTGGCACACCTACGCACCGTGAAACATGTAAACAATGGTTGTTACATAGGGGCCTCCACTACTTATATGTCTATGTCCCAACCAAAATGGAAGTACCTTGCAAAAATCGTTAGCTTTTAGGGGTTAGTAAATGGAATAATAGCATACAAATTAAGGATAAATATCATGAGAAATTGGCGCAAAAATGTTACTAGAAATGATGCCAACATTAGCTAAGGTCTTGAAAGTATATTTGAGACTAGGACAAGTTTGTTGTTGAGGGATTGTTAGACCATCTATAAAGGAGACTTGGACCATCCTTCCTAACTCAAATACATGTTGGCAGATTGTGCATGGGTGATTGGAGGTCCATTCATTGCTTGTGTTTGATGTTTTCTTTGCAATCCAAAGAGTGGAAGGAGCATCTATGAGTGACTCTAAGACCATATCTGTGGATCATGACTCAAAGGTTCTAGAGCTAGGCCACCAGGAGAGGATTACATTAAGTGTACCATATTAACATATGCAGTGATGTTATGCAAGAAACATTTTACTAAAGTAGCACGTGCGATAAAGTAGCTAGCAAAATTGGCTCGATGATTTTTGAATCACCATAGAATTATTTATGCATTTAAAAAGTTAATAAAACATATTTAAAATTATATAAATTTCAAGACATTATTTGTTGATTGAACATATTTTAGAAGGTAGAGGACAACACGACTTTTCGAACATTATTTGTTGATTGAACATATTTTTAGAAGGTGGAGGACAACACTTTATTTTGGTTAAAATGCATGGGCTCCTGCATATCTGATTTGGCAATCAAATTGGTATAAGAAGTGGCAATGGATCAATGCAAGTCTATCAGTAATAATAGTAAAATTATTGTTTATGAAATGACATGACAACAATGAGACTTGGCCTTGCAACCTTTTGTAATAGCATTCAGGTAGTTGCTCAGAATTGGGAATGGCACCTGGGTGTGTGTGTGTGTGTTCGGTTTTTGAAATCACCCAACTTGCATTGTGAATGAAATTTCTACTGAAATTCGAATATATTTTCTAGATACTACGACTCAGGCTAATTTGTGTATGCATCAGATTGGTCTGTCAATTGATATTCAAAATCCAATGGTTGGGTGGGCCTGCGTGACAAGTTAGAAACTGGCATCCTATACTTCTGTTTGTTCTAATTTTTTAATAGGATGAATCCGATACTAATAAGCGCTTCCTGAATGCTTAGAATAAAGCTGTGGTTCTGATGCGAAGACCTAGCAATCTGAGTCAAGCAGTTCCATTGCTATACTTTTCCATGCAATTGCTATACAACTTGAGCACTGATGATGGCTTAGATATTTCCAATATAATCTGCACCGGTGGACTCATTACGTAGTATAAGGAAGTTTCTTGGTTCCTGCTGCAAATTGCATGTACATCTACAACAGGTCATGTCAAGACATTGACAGACAACATGTATACATTATCTTCCATGTAAACAAAAACATGTTGCCTTCAATTTTATATATAATAGAACTTTCTTTACCTTAATTTTATAGATTTCAGGCGGTAGATTTGTAATCATAAGTCTGCACCTCGCAACTCTATTTCTTGCTTGCAAACAATAAAAGAACACCTGATTCCATCTGCACATTACGCGTACAAGACTTCAACAAGTTGAGTCAGGACAATTAGACAACAACATTGCGCGTCTATTTTTTTTTTTCCATTCAAGAAACCTGCTGCTGTCCGGAATTTTCTTATACTCTTCTTTCCACGCTTTTTATAAAGTCCAGGAGACTGATTCCCTGATCATTTATATATATAATAGGCCTTCGCCTGGCAACTCATAAACAGTTCATTCTCGTGACATTCAAAAACATCAGTTCTTCCAACCAGAAACAACCACACCAAAAGGGACAGAGAGGAAATAGACAGTGCCGAGATGGCGTTGGAGAGGGTGTCTCCTGTTGGGATGCACTGGCTGAGGAATTACAACTGCAGGAAGTCATTCTGTTCTCTGCCTTTCAAGAAATGGTCATACAAGACACATCAGTCGATTCCCTGCTAGACGATTTGTTCATGCAAGATCACATTACAGAAGCATCAGAAAGGCCCTCCACCTCTGCTGATGCAGGGCAATCATCATCGTCGATTCCACCACCGGGTGATGAATTCTACTGCCCGATTTGCATGGAAAGCTTGCCCAGCAGTCGCAAGTTCGTCATCAGCTCATGTGGCCACGCCTTCTGCGTCACCTGCATCGGCCAGTATATCGCTGACAAGATCGGTGAGAACGTTGTCCACGTCAAATGCCCCGATCCCAGCTGCGGAGACGGCACGATCGAGCTGGCGGACTGCAGCGGCGTCATCCCCTCGGAGCTGTTTAGCAGGTGGGATGTTGCGCTATGCGAGCTGACGCTCGGCGAGCAGAGGCTCTACTGCCCGTTCAGAGACTGCTCCGCAGGGCTTGTAGCTGAGGACGGCAATGGCAACGGTGCCATCGTGGAAGCCGAGTGCCCGCACTGCCACCGGCTGTTCTGCCCCCGGTGCATGGTGCGTGGCAGGACGGCATCGGCTGCGAGGAGTTTCAGGGGCTCGGGGAAGACGAGCGGGGCCGGGAGGACGTGATGGTGAGGCGGCTCGCTGGCGAACAGAGGTGGCAGCGGTGCTCCCAGTGCAGGATGTACGTGAAGTCTGAGGGATGTATGTTTATCAAGTGCAGGTATGCGTGCTAGCCTTTCCTCTTTCTGAAAATTGTGAAATATTGCTCAACGATTTCTTACATAAGATTCTTGGATTTGGGTTTTTAGGTGTGGATATTGCTTCTGCTACTCATGCGCATCCCCTATGTCCAAGGAGCTCCACTACTGCAAAATATGCAAGCGCTAATTGTTTCAACCGATGTCTCAGAATTCTTCACCGTTGACCAAGTTTAATTTCTGTTTTACCTCATCCCTGATCAAGTGTGAACCTACAGTTTTCAGACATGAACCTTAACTTGAATTATGCCGACAACTGTTCAAATTTCACTTCAATAGCCGTTGGGTTGTTGTCTGGTTAAGTTCCAATCAGATCTAGTATTCTAAATTTAGGAACATACAGACTTCCTGTTAACAATAAGCAACAGATATAGCATAGCACAAACTCAATAGAACTCTGCACTTGTCTACAATACATGATCAGGTTCTATGCTACACCAAGAACCAAGCTGATCATGGTCCTCGACTCCCCATGAGGTTAGATTAGTGCATATGTAAGGGAAATCGCCGAAATGATGCTAGTGTGCCAACAAATTTCTAAGGAAAAAAATAACCTCTACCACTACTAAAAGGCTAATGCATGCAAGGAAGAGAATTGTGGAGCATAGTGGACTTCAAGTGGAAATTGAGTGAAAGGTTTGCTTTGAAATTCGAATTGCACTTTGCACCCAATAAATATTGGATGTTGTGAATAGGGTGCATTTGCCGTTGTTCGCAGAAAAAGGGGTACTTTGTCACCGCCTTAGTTCATCTCTTTTTCCGTTTCTCTCTGAAATCCAGTAGCTCATTTTTTATGTGTTTTGGACTGACCCAAAATAAAAATGTAGTTACAGCTTCTTTCAAAAAAAAGTGTACTTACATCCCTAGTTGTGATCCCTTTTAGCCGCTCCCTTTGTATGAACAATGAAAACCAAAAAACATCATCATTAAAGGATTGAAGAATAAATCGTAAACCTCAAGTATTCAATCCACGATGTTTATGGGTTTAACATCATAAATATAAATCACACACATTCAACTTCAGGAAAGCAAACAGCAATCCATGACAAGCTCCAGCACCCAGCGTGAAGTATAGTTTAAAGCTATATATATATAAAAAAAAAAAAGGGTGTTGCTACAAATCCTTTTGTAGTACTGTTTTGCCTGCTATCTCGCCATATTTATATTAATAGTTATATGTGTTTGCGCTGATTTGGAGAAGAATCTTCGTTCCCTAAATCACTGGAGCAATCGCCAAGTCAGAAGAATTATTGTTCCTTAAATCATTTGTACCGATCGTGCTCACCTGTTAGTTCGACTGTTAGTATAGCATTTGATCTGGTCCGTTCATCTAGATAATGGATGCTCCATGTTGCGTGCGCAGTTTGGGTTCACTAATCAACAAACGTTTACCGGATTAGGTCAGTCTCAGTGGATAGTTTCATGACGTTGTTTTCAAGACATATATGGCCTGTTTTATACAGCTTATAAGCTGTTTATGGCCAAAATAAGCTGAAATCAACAGTCAAACGTCACGCTTTTCAGCAGCTTATTCTGACCATGCTTACTCTCAGGATCAGACCAGCTTATTTTGACCGTCGCTTTTACTCTATTTGTGCAGCTTATCTGGGAAGCGCTTCCCAGATAAGCTGTACCAAACAGGGCCATAGAGTAAAATGAAACATGGATGAAACACACTCTCTCAATGCAAAGTTTCATTCTATGGTTTCATAGGCATTTAATTTCTTAACTCATATAGAGTTGGTATCATGCCAAGAAACTCATTTCTTCTATCTTTTCTTAAATACGGTGTCATGTCTTCAAAAATGCCTACGTGGCAACCTATTTAATGCAATAAAATTGATATGAAACTCCTACTCACATTGGCCTTAGAAATCAATGGAAGCTCTGTGACTTTCCTTTTTAGGAAACATTCATTTCCTTAACTTTCCATTTTTTGAAAGCTACCAAGTTATAATTTTTATGCATAACATTTTGAGGGAACCAAATTTATCATAACTTTCTCAATATAGTTTTTAGCATCATTTTATATAGACAACTTATGATGAAAACTTTACTACATGATCTTTGCAACCCAACTTTTGTTCATATGACTATTAGTGGGCATCTTCGTTATAGCAATTTCTCAACACAACTTTTCTAGCAACTTTTATATAATAATTTATACGAATGGTATAATTTATTCTTGATAAACTTTTTAGCCTAAAAATTTGTTCAAATTATATAGAATAAAAATGGGTAGACTAATATGTGTCGGCGCGAAAACGTGGTAGCCGCGCCGGGTGCACACACAGCAAGCCGGAACGATCTGGAGATCTGCTTGGCTTCAACGCAGGAGCAGTCGATCCCGCGAATTCCCAAGGGCGTGCCAGTCAATTTGACCTGCAATTGACAATGAGAGAAAGTTTATCGGTAATTTAGGGTGGAACATACCGGTTTTGCCTAGACAGTTCCAAGTGTGCCGCTTCGGGAGCAGCCAGACGTGAAAATCGACTAAAACAGCCGATACGAGAAGAAATCAGCTGTTTAGTACTGTAAAGCTCATGAGTCATGATTGATTTTATAGTAACAAATACAATACACCTAGTTTTAATTATTCTTTCCCTTGAGCTATTAGCATGTATGCGTCAAAGATACATCACTGGCTAAATTAGATTTTGATCGATACGTGGTGTAGAGCCAATGAATCCGGTGAAAAGGGATATACCACATGAACAATCGACTGTTTGGTATAGACAGACCTACAAACCGTCTATATCTAATCTATCACCGCCAACAGTGAGGTTTGACCGGATCGATGCAGCTATGATGATGATGATAGTCTAGAACCAGAAAATCCATAAGAACTGATCATACTTCAATAGGCTCATAAAAGCGTGCCATATCTATGAAAGCACAAGCAAATCAGCTAAAACAGCCGATTCATGTAGAAAAGGGATTACAGCATGTAAACAATCGACTATTCAATATGAATAGATCTATAAACTCATCAGACCTAACCTGTTATCCTTAACAGTGGGGTTCAACCGGATCGATGGCAGCCATGATAAAGATAACAAATCAAACTTTTAAAATAAACTGATCTATTCACATTAAACAGAATCATAAAGATACACTGTAAGCGTTAAAGTATTGACGATCGGCTATTTAGCCGATGCGGACATAGCAAACAACCAATGTCACACCTAGTCGAAAGCAAATCTCCAGCTAACATACTCCGATCTAAAGTGCTACCAGTGGGGATCGACCGGATTGTTACAGCCATAATAGCGAGCTACAGACCAGATTCAACTAGGTAGTAAACCTTCTCAAGATCAGTTATGCATTGACCGCGTACTATGCACGATCAAGATCAAAGTAGAACGGCCAATAAAACAAAATCCATCGTTTGAAGTGAAAATTAACACAATATAGCAAAATAAACGATGTACTAAAAGGATGTGAGGCCGATCTAGATCAATCTCGATCGGGCACGTTGATATTGCTGAAAACCAATGACAATAAGAACATCAGCAAGACCGGTAACTTAATAAATCTACCCGAAGGACGCCACCCTTAGGTAGAGCCGATAACTTGACCTTAATCTAATTCGAGCAGTGAAGGTCGAACTTAACTGATGCAGCCGTACCTGAACTAAATAAGAGTCGATAACTAGCTTATACTAGAGCTCATAAGAGATCGGCCAGACCGATGCAGCCTTACAAACAGAAGTATAAGCCATGACGATACTTACAGACAAGCCGGAGGTCGACCGAATCTATACAGCCCTGCTTGTTGAAGAACTCGCCGAGATCTATAGTACTCTACTCCTAAGGTTGGCATGAAGCTGAAAAAAGTAATTGGTATTGATTGATTGGTTGATCCTTTTACAATAGCCAGGGTCCAATATTTTTACCCAAAACCTAAGCATGAATCCTACTCAAATACGACTCATTACAATCTTTGAAATAAAAGAAAATATTTCTAACTTAAGATAACTTGGACCCTAATCTTCTCTTTTTGTAGAGTTCAACATATTTTTCCCGACGCCAACCGTAGCTCATTGATGTTATCTGCTGATGTCACCCGAAGAGAGCCGATCCCAGTTCCGCATCTGAATCAGCTGATATCGATTTTTATGCAATTGATTCCTTGATGACATAATCTTGGAAGATTCGAGTTCCCGCGTTCTTCTTCCCAAATGTTGGTGTAAGCACATGCCCCCCAATTTTAGGATAAAAATAATTTTATTCCAAAATTTCTATTTACCTGTTCACCACGTCGCAACCATTTATTCCGAGATATATGCGTGACTCTTGATATTCTCAGTCCGAATTTTATATAATACCCCAACAGTATCATTTCCGATTCATTCGGCCGATTTACTTTCCCCTTCTTCTTCGAGCGAGCCTCAATAACCAAATCCACCGCTACTAGAGCTCCAACCCTAGCAGTTTTTCCTCTACTCGAGCTGCTCGTCAAGTCATTCTTCTGCAACCTTTTTTGGATTCAGATCTATTCCAACTAAAATGGCGACCAGTGACTATATCCCTGAGGTACGTCTTCAAATCTCCGCCTTTCAACTATCAGTCGTTGCTCTGTATTTTTTTTCTCTTCCTTAAGTTTATCTCATCTGGCTATCTAGGGGATGAAAAATGAAATTCTGATCCCTTTGTCTGTTTTTCCAAATGTTTATTACCTTGGACCCATGGGAGATGTCAATCCTTCGGATCCTATCAACCAAGAAACCAATTAAATCCCCTTTAGGCAGTCCTTGGTAGATCCGTCTTCTTGGAACACCAAAAATCCCTTTAGGAATTGGCCCAAAATGCCTAAAGGATGGAGAGACTGATTCCATAGAGTGTCAGACAAAAAGGGCGGAGACTGGGA